AATTTTGATTTACCAACTTCCTTTTACCTTTTCAAGCTCAATCTAAAAAAATGTATTATTTCACTTGATAATATACTCAGATACTTCTAATATTTTGAAAATTGTTATACAACTTGAATTCAGTACTTTATTTTAATTTTTACTTTATTTTTTAGTATCTTATACTGGTATTTATTTTGCTTGTTTGTGCTTTATAAGGTTCTGATGACAAGATCTTGTGATCTTCTTTCAGATCCTAGCTTATGTTTCATTGCAAGCAGTTTATGTATGTGCGCATCTACGCATTTGTATGTATATATATGCTTATATTTATATATGTATGTCCGTGTTTTTTCTTATTTTAATTTAGTTGATAAATGTTGTAACACGAATTTAATTGTAACACGATATATATGGCATATATAATTGTACTTTGACATTTTAATGTAATTTTCATATTGCCTCACTCTCGGGCGATCGGATTGCATTTAAATTTAGAAAATAAGACAAATAATAATAATTAAATAAATAATTTAACGCTTTTTTAACTACATATATGGGCCCTAAATGGGTCACATGTGGGCTAGCCCTTGAATACAAATTTGTATTCTAGGGCTAGCCCACATGAGGCCCATATTGAGCCCATTTATAAAGCCCACATAGGGCTCACTTGGGCAAACCCATATGGGTCCCAATAGGACATGTTCACTGGGAAGTTTTAAAGAAAGATATTTTTTAGAAAAAAAAAGTGAAATATGAAATATGTTTCTAATTATATATGTAGTTTTATATAATCAAATGATTTTTTGTAATGTTTTTTATTGGAGAGATTTACTCAATATGCAGAAGGCAACCTTCGACAACATGAAACAATCGTTCCGAGGGTGTAAGTATGATGAGATTAACAATCTTTTTACCAAGTGTTATGTACTTTATCAAAGTTTGCTTGTTGGGTAGAGCGGGACATTGAGACTGTGGAGCATAACGGGACAAGCTCAAGCTCAAGCCTGTTGAGTTTGAGCTTGAGCTTGAGTTGAGCCGGATTTTGAATCTTTCACTTTAGAAATTTACAATAAGTCATCAAAAAATATTATTGTAATAACTACATACTGACCACCAAACTAATGTTTAAATAACTTTGAAAATCACTTAAACAATTACTTTAAAATAGCATGCAAAAAAAATAAAGACCGCTCGTTTTTATTTGTTGGAGATTACAACGTTGACTATTTAAAATATGGTGAAAATAATAAAGTACAACAATTTTACGATCGCTTTAATGAGTATGGAATCATGCCTATAATTAAGAAACCAAAAAGAATAATACAAAACTCTTGTTCTGCAATCGACAATATTTTCACAAACACATTCTTCCATTCCTCATTTAAATCAGACATCATTAGAAGTGATGTCACTTCTAATGATGTCACTTCTAATGAACCAACCATTTTAATTTTTTGAAAATTGCAAAGACTGCAAGTCTTTGCAATTTTCAAAATATCAAAAGATATACTAAAAAAGGACTGGCACTTCAAATTAAGAATCTTTAGAACCCGAGCAAAAAATATGTTTAAACTAAAGCTATCGACTGTAAATTGGAACTTTGCTTTTCTCGAGACATATGCTAATAACAACTACAACCTTTTTCTAGATAAAATTTTTTAATTTTTACGATAAGCATTTTTCTAATAAAACAAGCCGTATTAAAACTAAAAGACTTCTTAACCTTTGGTTTACCAAAATCCTCTTAAAGTCTTTATAGCAAAAACAAAAGCTATATATACGCTTTATTAAATCAAAGAAAGATCGTGACAAGCATAACTTCAAAAACAAGCTGTTAGAACTAAAAAGTAACTGGAAAGAACACTGATATAACTAATTTTTCCTTATTCCATTCTAAACGAAAGTTTTAATATATTCCAAAATCCGTACCAATGCTATATATAAGTAACATCAAAATTGAGCGCTCATTCACAAATAAATTACTTGGTATTTTAATAGATGAAAACTTATCCTGGAGAGATCATATTAAACATATTAGTAATAAAATCTCAAGAAATATTGGCATTTTATATGAAACTAGACAAATCTTAAACAAATCTACTCTAACTCAGCTATATTCTGCATTCAAAAATAGTTATTTATCTTATGGCAATATTGTTTGAGGTATTACAAATAAATCTAAACTCGAATGCCTCCTTAAACAATAGAATCATGCAGCACGCATTATTCATTTTCAAAATCGCTTCACAAATGCTAAACATCTTCTAAAAAGCATGAGGGCACTTGATATGTATGAACTAAATATTTTCAAAACTACGCAATTTATGTTCCAACATCAGTCAAAAAAAAAAAACGCCGAAGATTTTCGAAAATACTTTCCCTAAAACATTAAACCGATAACGTGTTTTCGGAACATTCTCCTCCACCCAAGTTATAAAAACCACTTTATTTTAATAAAAGAGTGATTTTTATAATTTTATAAATAAATTGGAAAGTTTACTACTGTTTTTTAGATATTCAATAATGCAGTAAATCAAAATCAATGTTGTCATCAGTAATTAGCCATATTCGTCAAATAAATAATTTTCCTGCAAGCCTTGCAGATGATCTTTTATTTTTATAATGGTTCTTTGAAGTTCCTGGAACGATTCTCTTAACACTTGGGACAGTTTTTGCTTAGACTGTGTAAACTTAATTTTAGCCTGAAAAATAGATTACTTTGTTTCGAAGGAGAATAGTTGAAATAACTTCTATTTTTAAAAAACGTATACAAGTATTCTTTACTATATTTTGAGATACAAAAAAAAAATAAAATTAAAACTGTTCTTTCAACAGCATTTATGTTGCTAAGAGAACTGGTGCTAAGTTTGCATAGCTCAAGTCCGTATGAAGCTTAAGAACTGTTAATAAAGTTATAAAGATGAAAAATTGTTGACGGCGGGCCAAAACGAAATCCACTGTCAATTAAAGCTATTGCAATTAAATTAAACTGAGTTATACGCTCATTTAAGTGTTTTTTAAAGTGTTGCAAACTTGTTCTTATTCAGGCGTGGATGCAGCATTTTTTGATGTTTGAAATACCATCACTTTAATGTACAAAATATTAAAGTACATTTTTTGTCCACAACGCTGTTGATCCAAGGTATAAACAGTCAATTTTTTTTTTCAGACGCAATAAACATTTTTGATAAAAAAAAAAAAAAAAAATGAAGAGCAACTATTTTTGTTTTTTGTTTACATTTTTGTAATTATTTACAAAAACAAACAAACAAGGCTTCTGAAAGAAGATCACAATGATCTCATCATCAGAACCTTTTACAAGTTTTTTCATCAATACATAAACAAGGCTAAAAAACTACAATAAATCGTGATATATATTGAAAATATAAATTAAACCACTAATGTTATATATAATAAAAAGTTGATTCTTTTTTTTTTTTTTTTTACATGTTTATTTTACAACTACAAAGTATTTACAAGTAACCAATCACAGATTGGCGGTAAAGATATAGTAAACATAAATATCATAAACATAAAGTTCGAAATATACGAAGTAAACAAAAATATAGTTGCATACAACTCCGAGACACGATTAAAATAAACGCTAATTACAACAATGTAGTAACGTGTACATAAATATAATCCGATAAATATATTTCTATATTATTCCTGGTAATATAAAAATATACAATAAATAAAAATAAACTAGCTGATTTTTCGGAAAAGTGTTTAGATGTTTGACTATAAGTTTATTTACCATATTAACACTAATTTCGTTTTTATCATACTTGTGTATAAATATGATAAAAACGAAATTAGTGTAAGATTGATAAGAAGAATTATTATTTGTTAGTAGTTATAGGAAGCTCGCAGAAGACTTAAGTCAGTCTTGTGTCATCGAGTACCTTTTTCCGGACGTGTAATACACATAAAAATCAGTTGCATACGCAGTATATATGTATGTTGTACATTTATACCTTGTTATTAATATTATTGTTTTTTATTATCGATTTGTAATAAAAGTTAAGCTACATTTTTAAAATTTTTTTTATTTTATTTTTAATTCCTTATAGTTGTTTAATTTGATTATTGTAGATTTTAGCTTTATTTTCAGAGAGTGTTTGTTGTTTAGGTTTAATAGTGATTCGTTTCTGGAAACTAATTTGTTAAATGAATAGGGACCACGATATGTAATTGAGAAATTTGAGAGTCTTGTTGTTTCAAACGGTATCTTAGTTGCCTGTTGCTCTTGTATTGTATCTATTTATATTGTTTAAAAAAAAAATGTGATTCGTTAAAAAAAAAACTCTGCAATGTATACTTTACTTTGCAATATCTGCAGAAGTTATTTGATTGGTTGCAAATATCAAAATTTAACTAAAATATTCTCAAAAAAGTATTAGTATGAAAAGTAGGGTACAACATAAAACGCTTTTTGAATTTTAACATCAAAGCATAGCTTGAAATTTGATTAAAAATGTTTTGAAATGATTTGAAATTGTTTTGTTAATTCAAAACATAACAGCAGTGTTTTGCCAATTTGAAGCAAAACTAGCGTAATCTTTGTTTATTCTTTTTTTTATAATTATAAAAATTTTCTGTTTACTAAAAACTGGCATAAAATAAACGAGTCAGACAATGTCCTTATTCGTTTCCTACTTTTTACTATATTTAAGGATTGTATTAGTTAAAATGCTAAAAACAAACTTACGACTAGTTAACTTCATTAACTAGTCAAATTAACAATTTAAGTAAAACTAAGATATGGGTAAAGATATGCGTAATAATAAGATATGAGTAATAATAAGGTATGGGTAATAATAACATATGGGTAATAATACTCTGCAATTGCAAAAAATGTTTCCCCTCTATCCTCACCCTATAATTTTTTTGCACAACGGGGGTAGTTACGTCACTTACTTTTTTTTTTTTTTTTTTTGACGGGGTAAACGAAAAAACCGCGCCCGCCTCTGAATATTTGTATGGTTATAGTTTATTCTAAAAAAATACACATTTAATGATGTAACTTAACTCATTATTATGAAAAGAAAGACTTTTAAAAATATAGTTTTGATTATATAGCAATTTAACTAAAAGATAAAAACATCATCAACATATCTATTTATAAATTAAAACTCAATAAAAAAAATTAAAATCAGTATATAAAAATAAAAAAATATATAAATAACAATGATATTAACAAGATCGATTTAAATAAATAAAGATTATATTATTTTAAATACTAATAAAAATATTTTTAAAATTCAGAAGGTAGATCTTTGCTTTTAATTTGTTGAAAACCATTTTTTTTTATTTTTTTCACCTTTAATGGAAGATCTTTTCACATTTCTAACAGGTATAGGATTATTTGGATCGTATATCGAGTGAGAAACTGGAGTTGGCAGTGAAGAGAATTTTAATTGGTTGGATGTTGCCTGGTGATTCACCGGATCGTCACAACTAACTGGAATGAATGAAGTTTTATCTAACTTATTACACAACTGGTTATACATTCTCAGGGAATTTTTAGAATTTAAGTCATTATCATTTGATAATCGATCAATATCTTCACAAAACGATTCCTTAGAGTGCTCACAAGCATCAACAGCTTTTAAGTATATGTGTTCATCTTGCTGCTCTACCTGGTCTCGATCACCTCGACCCAAATTATGAACTTTAGAGTTTTTATAGCTACTATTAACTATTGGTTGATTTAATTCTGTATTGTTTTGTAAAACTTTGCTGTTGTATGTATTATCCTAATATATATATATATATATATATATATATATATATATATATATATATATATATATATATATATATATATATATATATATATATATATATATATATATATATATATATATATATATATGTATATATATATGGGTATTAAGGTACAAAATATTTTGAAAAAATCACGTTAAAAAATAATTAAAATACAAAAAATTAAATTTGCATGCAATTTTAAAAAATACAGATTAAGGATATTATATTTAAACTGTTTTTGATTTATTTTTATAACATATGTTACTGAGAAAATAAATTATTATTGCAAGAAAATAAATTATTATTGCAAGAAAATAAATTATTATTGCAAGAAAATAAATTATTATTGCAAGGAAATTTTTATTATAAATTTCTTTAAAATGTTTTAAACGATTTTAAAGATTTAAAAGTGCATTTTAAAAATAATGAGTAAATTTTAAAAATAATGAGTAAATTGCAATCTTGATTTTAGTTCCTTCCTCCTCAAATTTTCTTTTCAATACTTTTGAGCATAATATCAAAAAAACATTACAACAACTATGAAATACAATAACTAAAAACATTATTTGTATCTATGTTTTTAGTTATTTTATTTCAAATATTAGATATGAACTTCTAAATTTTAAGTTTGAAATATTAAATCAAGAATAAAAAATTCGCACTACCTTTGTCAAGTTCTTCTGTTAAATTTTCTCATCTCTTTGTGAGAGTGCACGGGTGGGGCAATTCTTGTCCAATGACAACCCAGGAACTTTTACTTTATTTTTTTTTATTGTTCCAGGTGATGATGCCTTTACTAGAGTAAAACCTAACATACCTCTAATAATTGGTTTCTGGTAATAAACTTTGACTTTTGTAAAACAAATTAGGTAGACTTAGGCACTATCATCTTTATGAGATTTTGTAATGTTGGGCATTTTGATAAGATGAGTATTACCATTAGTAACTACTGCAGTATATAAAAAAAGTTCATGATATCTATTAGTAAATTTTCTTGCATATTTGGGACAGTGGGTCACAATTTTTTAGATATATATTGTTTCCAGTCTTTAAGGAGTCGTCCATAAATGACGTCACGCTTTAGGATGAGGGAGGGAGGTGTAAGTGGTTTTGTGACGACTTATACAGAAGTTGTTACTAAAGAATTACGATGTTGTGCAGAGAAAGGGGGGGGGTCTATTATGGTTAAAAATTGTGTGACTTAATTTGTGGACGACTCCTAATCACTGCAATTTTTTGTAAAAAATTCAGATTTGATACCAGTATCAATGGAAGTTACCAAAAATCAATGATCTGTCTGTTTAACACTTTTTTTGAATAAGTTTGACAGAATATTTTCAATATTTAGATTATAATAGTACAAAGAATTGTCAAATCGAAAATACAAACCATTTTTGGTGAATATTTTTTTCTAATAAACTATTTCCACTCCGTTGCGAGTGAACTGTTTCTGTTATTTATAGTTCATTTGCAGCATGTAACAAAAACAAGGTACAAAGAAAATTATAAACTATTAAGTAGATAAACTATTATTAAAATTATCAACTATTATTGCCTCCCCCCCCCCCCCCTTCCTACTTAAATAAAACAAAGATTATATTTCATTGTATCTAAAGTCAACTTTGAAGTTATTTAAAAAAAAGTAAAACAGGGTGAAATGAAATAGCGGGTAGAACGAAATAGTTATGACAATGTTTATTCTTTCGCTTTTAATTAACTATTGAAAAATGTTTTGTAAATATTTTTTGATTATATTGTAGAGAATATTTTTCTGAGTAAGATAGTATTAAATTTTACTTTTAATTAAAAAAATTTTGTTATAAATTTATAAGTTTTCGAATGCGTAATAAGATTTTTTTTATTTGTTTGAAAAAGGGAACTTAAAACTCTCGGAAATTAAATTCGGTATCATTTAATTCAAAATGTTTACTGATACAACTTTTTATGCTGATCAAGAATCTTTTTTTAAAATTAAATAAGCAATTTAGGAAAAAAATTGAGTTCTGAGTTAAAAAATTGAGTTCTGAGTTAAAAACGGAAACTGAGTGTTGCGGGGTTGAATGAAATACGCTAATAAATAAATAAATACAAAGCAATAACTTATTTCTTAAAAGCGGCTTTTTTAATTAGGTCTCAAGTGACTAATAAATCTCTAACTATAAACTTTTTGTATAAATTTCAATGAACAAATTTTTCTAACTGAATTTAAATGACTTTTACTTACTGCTTTTATAAATTGGTTCTAATAAATGAATGAAATTCGCTAGTTACTCTCTTGTTAATTTGCTTACCAGCTCACTCGTCACACATTCTACAGCCACTAGATGTTGGTGTTTATTGCCATGTCAAAAGAGTTTGGCGCAAATTACTTCAACAGTTTTATGCAGAGACAAAGTTTAGCAACTTATCAAAAAAATGTTTTATTCACCTGCAAAAAAAAACTTTTTAGCTCTGGTGAAGTTTTTACACGTACCCAGATAGTCACTGGGTTTCTGAATACTGGCTTGTTTCCACTCAACATCAATAAAATCCATATACTAAAAGTGAAGTTTGAAGTACACATTGAAAAATAGTTATTTGTAAAATAAAATTGTTTTAAAATCTGAAGAAAAAAATATAAAGTATAGAAATGTTTTTTTGAATTTTCAAAGTGCATATGGAAATAATTAGATCAAAAATTAAGTCAGAAACAAAGAGAAAAGTATATGGAAAAACATAAAGAAGTGTTTTTTACAAGTATCTGATGAAGAATGCAAAAGAAAAAAGAATCCTAAGAGACATAACAAAGTGTTCTCTAAGACACAACAAAATGTCCTCATAGACATAAGGAACATAGTGGTGAAATGCAAATAAAATTGTAGAATAAAAAATATTTTATTTGGGAAAAAGTTTGAAAATAAAAAAAGCGAACTCTAATATTGCTTGGCTAACTGAGACATACAATGCTCCATTAGGTTAAGAGAAGTTATAAGGCAAAATGCTAGACTTAAAAGATAAAAGAAACACAATGTTTAGAGCTTTAAAGCACATAGTTAGGAAAAAGAGCGATGTTGTTGAAGAAGGCTGTTTTAAATTTCTAAAAACTGAATTAAAAACTAGGTGGTTGTTTATTTTGAAGAATCACTTAATAGAAAATTTGAATGGAATAATTATTTTTCAGTAGTGAATAAAGGTTAGTTGACCAGAACATAATTTGTAGTGAAGTAAAATTCAGCTATTCAAAGAGCTCATTAGGCTTCTATGGTC